CCGTACTGACTCCAGCTATCCTACTTACCCAAAAAACTGAGATTACGCTAATGCCTAGTGGAGAATTTACTCATGCGAATATCTACCAAAAACACTGGAAACGTGTACAATACCTAGCTGATTACTTCTGGAACAGGTGGCGAAAGGAGTATCTCAATATTCTTCAAGGAAGAAGAAAGTGGCAACACCACAAACCAAACCTAAAAGAAGGTGACCTCGTGTTAATGAAGGAGCAACATACCGTACGGATTGACTGGCCTATGGGACTAATTACAAAGGTTCTTCCTAGCAAGGATGGCAAGGTCCGTAAAGTGGAGTTGAAGATCTTCAGAAAGGGTGAGCTTAAAATGTTCGCAAGGCCAATTAACGAACTCATTTTGATACTACCCATCGAGAACATTCCTGCTGGGTGAACTCTACTGAACTTGAACTTTGTGGTTCTTCTCTATTCCAACTCGGAATCTACTATATTGTTATGTTTATTGCATTCTAACATGTTCTTTGTTACAGGTTGTTTTATATTTTATGGACATTCGTCATAGTGAAATCCCTTATGGAATTTCAGACGGGGAGTGTGCTGTTCCCCTCATATTTTGTTATTTAACTGTGCATTGTATCACCAATTCTTATTTCACCATGTTTGTTTCTATGTCTTGATCTGTTGCTGCCATCTGCTGGCCAGAATTTGCATGCTGCATGCCTTTGTTATAGCTAGTAAGTGTTTTCTCTGCTGGGCGTGGTTTTTTAGGCAAGCCTTGGTTCTGGTCACTTCCTGCAGCCATTTTTATGTGCTTTATAGCTGTGTGACAGGACATTCAATACCCTGGGCTTGTGAAGGCATCAGTTTTTGACCAGCAGTTAGCCTCAGGAAAGATATCACAGGACAGCATCAATACCTCTACTACCTTACAGTATTGTATCACTGTTTGTCGCTGTATTTTGGACCAAATAAACCCACGCTGATTTCATTCCTGTGTATACGTTTGGATCCATCTAACCTGAACATCTGCCGGTCCGGTCTGCTCCACTGCTTGGATACGAAGGTAGGAAGTTACACAGCGACAACCCTACCTAATATTATGCAGGTCCTGCGTCGTTTGGTGAGATCTCAGATCTTTGGCTAAACAAAACAAATCTATGGCTATGAATGTTAAACCTTCCAACGGCAGGACAGCTTGCTCCTATACTTGGGTGCGTAACTTTCCTCATCTATATCCTAGCTCTATTGACTCTATGACCTGCCCCTATTCAGGCACTTGTTAACAGAGCTTACTAAGTGGTCTCTGTTGGATATCTCACTGTTAGGACGAGTGCATACAAGAAAAATTATGATTTTGCCAAGTTGTTTTTCTTTTGGTCTCTCCCTATTGTGATAAACTGCCCTGATTTGCTACATTTTCAATTGAACTTGATTAAGTATATCTTGAGTCAGGGTGGACATAGATTTGTGAAAAAGATTTTTATATGTATCCAGGTGCCAGGGTGGATTGGGAACCAAGAATTTATGGCTACATTATCAAGCATATCAGTTGATACAATTGTCGATAATGTACTCTATATATGCGAAAAACCAGACTGCTAAGTTTTTTGTAACACGCCTCTTATCTAAAATGTTGAACATAGTAGTTTTTGGCAGTTTCTTCATTGCTTTCCATTTTTAAGGGGGGTATGTTTGGTTTTAACTAAAAGTATATGAAAACAAGAGAGTCTGCGCTAGATGCGTGATAACAAATATAAATAAAGAATTTTATTTTTGTGTTCTTTGCCCTACTGAATCACTTGACGGTTCTTTTTAATATGTATAATTAACTAAACGTAGTCTAATCTTTTAAATTAAATGGAAATGCAAATCATGCTGCTTTTTTTGCGCTAAAACAATTTTAGATTTTTCTTTTACCACTTTTAGAGCAGAAATTTTTGGAACAAAAATACACTAATGAATTTTAATGTACAAAACACAACACCATACCCAATTGTTTGGTCAAATATAAAAGATGATGTTATGCTGAGTAAATAGATACCTAACATGTCACGCTTTAAATTGCGTACGCACATGGAAAGGCGACCAACTACAGTACTTGAAAATCTCCATAGGTGACACTTTTAAAGCCTTTATAGGTTACCAGTATGACTTATACAGGTCTGATGCTAGAATTATTGTGGTGGTGTGAACACCATTTACACATGCGTGTGGGGACCTACATATGCGTTCACCTTTACGAGTGAGCATGGGGCGGGTTGTTGTGGATACACTTTAAATATTTTTTTTTATTGATCAGATGCTTTCGCAAGCCAGTAATGGCTTGTTTACATCTGAGCAAAATCGGAAGTGACAAACTCTACTCTTAAGTTTCTTAGACCATAGCGATGATTGGGGAACTTCCAGGCCTTAGTCATCTCTATGGTAAGCTGGTGGAATGGGAGAGTCTGGGAAGGCTTGATTTGATAATTTGCAGAAGAACCTTTTAAAACCCCAACTCTCTATAAGAAGTGATAGGTATGGTCACAGGACTGAATCGAAAGCATTCTTAGTGTCCAGAAACAAGAAGGTTCGGAAATGTCTTTGTTTAAAGGCCGTGATCAATTGGCGGATCCTGGAAATGGTAATACTTGCTTGACTCCTTGGCATAAAGCCTACCTGATCTTTACCCACTAAGTGGTTAATGCCGCTGTTCAGATATGTGGTTCAGATATTTTGGCATCCAGATTTAGAAGAGAGATAGGGCGATAACTGGTCCACATTGTGCTATCACTGTGAGTTTAGGTAGCATACAAAAAGCGGATAGCAAGGTGTTTTTTTTTCCAAAGAGCCATTCGCAAGGATGGAAATTTGACTTGCCTGAAAACTCCATATCTTGAAGTACAGCACAGGACAGGTAACTTATTCATACACTATGGGTTATAGTTATAGTACCATAAGGTGATTAGACATTGGCAAGCTTATGAAGACCCCCCGACCCGAGGCACCAATGACACCACAAAATAACTTATCCACGCCTTGGTTATATCCCGCCTCGATTACTGCAACTCCCTCCTCACTGGTCTACCGTTACACAGGCTATCCCTTCAGTCTAATATTAATGCTGCTGCTAGACTCATACACCTTACCAACTGATCAGCGACTGCTGCCCCTCTCTGCCAATCCCTTCACTGGCTTCCACTAACCCAACGTATAAAATTCAAAATACTAACCACAGCTTACAAAGCCATCCACAACACTGCCCCTAGCTACATCGCCGACCTCATCCACAAATACCGCCCAAATCGCCCACTCTGCTTCTCCCATGATATCCTCCTCTCTAGCTCCCTCATCACCTCCTCCCACGCTCGCCTCTAGGACTTCTCCAGAGCCTCTCCCATCCTCTGGATCTCCCTACCACAGCATGTCTGGTCAGCCCCCACCCTGTCTGCCTTTAGGCGATCTTTGAAAACTCACCTCTTTAGGGAAGCCTACCCCACCTCCACCTAAGAACTGTACTTGAATCACCTCCACCAGATCATCCCCTGAAGCTATCACCTTTTGTATCATCTCCCCCTTCCTTTAGATTGTAAGCTCCACGAGCAGGGACCTCACATTTCTTCTGTACTGAAAGTATTGTAATTGTACTGTCTCCCTTATATTGTAATGCGCTGAGCAAACTGTTGGCGCTATATAAATCCTGTATAATAATAACAGCGGCGCTACAGATTACTCTGCCACTCTCATAAATGGAGAAATAATTCCCAGTCTGCCACGGCCCCTCATTCCCAGTGAGTAAATAAGGCAAGGAAAGTTTTTAATCTTTTAACTACTCTAGGCACTTGCAGAACTAGGAACCCCTATCTGCTGCTGCCAACCCTGATCTAGGATTTCCAGGACACTGGCCAGGACCCCCACCCTGATCTCGGATTTCTGGGACATCATTCCAAAATTTGTGACTGTCCCGAGTAATCCGTGACAGTTGGCAACTATGCAAACTAACTGCCATAGTACAGAGCAGCAGTTGCAAATCTGCACATGCTCTGTTTGGTGTCATGAACAGATGTCATTAGACTGCTACATGCTGCTGATGAGAAAATGTATTTAGCAGTTTATATTTATAAAGATAATTGCATTTCCATGCTCTGTGTACTATGGATTTAGTGAATGCAGGGTCATGGGTTTAGTAACGCTAAGACCTGAGAGGATATAAACTATCATCTATTGTATCCCAACAATCACCCAACTTTAGGAGGTACAAGTTGGAGCCCACAAGCAAACTAAATTGGGGCCTTTCCACTGTAGTGCCCCCTAGTGGCAGAAATGTATATTTCTCTTGTTAGGGAACTGCATTAAAAAGAACAGTGTTACTTAAACTGTTTTCCAGAGTTTGTCTTCGGCTGACAAAACTTACAATAATTTAAGACTTTACATAAAGTCTCAGTCTCAAAAACGGCTTTAGAAGTTAAAAAAAAAATTTCAAAAAACCCTGTTTTTCCCCCCACTTTTCCCATTTTTTTCCATGTCTTCCCATGTCTAAACACAAATAGTTTGGGGCAGCAGAAAAGCTATGTCATCTGTTGCAGGTAAGGCACAATGAAGGGCCCTAGCCCTTTTAACCACCAGCCTACAGGGCACTTATACCCCCTTCCTGCCCAGGCCAATTTCCAGCTTTCAGCACTGTTTCACTTTGAATGACAATTGCGCGGTCATGCAGCACTGTACCCATATGAAATTTTTATCATTTTTTGTGACAGATAGAGCTTTATTTTGGTGGTATTTAATCACCTCTGGGTTTTTTTTTTATTTTTTCTTAAACAAACCAAAAACCACTGAAAATTTTGAAAAAAAAAAAAGTTTTTTCTTAGTTTTTGTATATAAAATTTTGTAAATAAGTGATTTTTCTCCTTCACTGATGTGCGCTAATGAGGCTGCACTGATGGACACTGATAGGTGGCACTGATGGGCATTGACAGGCATCACTGATGGGCACTGAAAGGCAGCACTCATATATGGCACTGTTAAGAAGCACTAACGGGCACTGATAGGCGGCACTGACTGGCACTGATTGGCAGCACTGATAGGTGGCACTGGACTGGCACTGAAAGGCAGCTGAGATGGGCACTGATATGTGGCACAGATGAGCACTGGCAGGAGGCATGGATGAGCACTGAGAGCTGGCACTGATGGACACTGACAGGTGGCGCTGCTGGGGCTACACAGATCATCATCAGGGCACGCTGATCATCAGTGCTCTGATGATCTGTGTACATGTCCCCTCCGAGGAATGCCGATTACCGGCTCTCCTCTCCTCACGAGCTGTCACTGTTTACATGTGATCAGCTGTGATTGGACACAGCTGATCACATGACCGAGCCGATATCTTCGGCTCTTTCCATTGATCGGTGATCCACTGTGTCCAAGGGACACAGCGCACCGCCGATTGCCGCGCGCGCAGCTGGAGCCGCGCATGCGCGGTTAGAATGGGAGGACGTCATATGACATCCTCCCAGAACGAGAGAACCACCTTGCGTCTGTCATTTTACTATATGGCGGGTGGGAGGCGGTTAAAGGATTTAATTGTTTTAAATGATTGAAATATAATTAGAAATCTAGCTCAGACAGAGAGTAGTTTTTGCCACATATACTTTAAAAACGAAATGGAATACCTGATATGTGTCCCAAAGCCGTATAGTGCATCTTAAAGGGAGCTCCCTCATCAGCAAGTTGTTCATCCAACGAAAAGCAAATTGCAGATATTCAACTTCATATTTCTGCAGATGACGATGCACCTCACCTAGTGTAGAAATGAGAGTCTTTAAATTTGCAACAGATGGAAGACCAGTACAGAATTCTGAGACAGATGCTGTGCCTTTTTAGCCATACAAGTGTCCTGCTGATGTCTTCCATATTTTGTATAACATAATTATGAGAAAAAATGTTTCTGCAGTCCCTGACCACCACCTGTGGTGTGCCCATGGTCTCTATTTTAACTGCCAGCTGAATGACTTGAATAAAGTCATATGCAGGGCAATAGATTTGTATTGTTACATAGTTAATCTGGCTGAAAAAAGACAAAAGTCCATCAAGTTCAAACATAAAAAAAAAAACAAACTTATAATCCTATAACCACAGTTGATCCAGAGGAAGGCAAAAAAAAAAAAAAAAACCCCAGCAAAGCACAATCCAATTTACGCCTGCTGGGAAAAAAATTCCTTCCTTATTGTGTGACATAATAAAAATATATGACATTACAGCAAAATGTGAAAATATCCATGTGGGTGAATACTTATTAAAAAGCATTGTGTAGGATAAAGGGAAGAAAAAGGAGGCTCCACCTACCTGCGGGACGGAGAGGAGTGGCTGATACTGCACTGTCAGATGAGCCCTACATTACTGTTGATCTTGTTAGTGTTTTTACCCCTGTGAATAAATCCACTACTTTAATACTGTACTTAGGTGGTGCCTTCTTTTTCTTCCCTTTATCCTACACAGAGCTGGCTGTACTCTGAGGATGAAGGCTGCTGCTGCCCCCCCATCCCACATTAAGATTAATGAACTGTATGGACTACTTATGGTCACTGTTTTACTCCTAGTGTCCTATATGCTGTTTACATGACTGCTGGATAACAAACTCTGTGCGCAGAACATCTCTACTTGTAAAAGCACTGTGTATCCTGCTGTAACATTTAATATTGGCTAGTTCTGGTGCCTACATATTACTATATGCATATGTTGTTGAGAGACTGCTGTGCAAGCTTCAGAATGTAAGCAAGCTGGCTGATAAAATGTTTTCTGCCACTGTTCCACAGCTGCTACATATTTACAAACTATCTGACGTACACCTTAATCACTTCAGCTCCAGAAGATTTTAACCCCATCATGACCAAGATCTTTTTTGCTATTCAGCACTGCACTACTTTAACTGACTATTGCAACACTGTACACAAATGAAATTTATATCATATTTTTCACACAAAGAGCTTTCTTTTGGTGGTCACTACTGGGTTTTGAATTTTTTAAAATTATTTAACCACTTGCCGACCGCAGATATCCGAATGACGGCTTCACCGCAGCCGGCCAGTTCTGGGAGGACGTCATATGAAAAAAAAAAACTGAGCATGTGCAGCTTGCCACTAAGGCTCTGTTCTATCAGGAAATTAAATGGGGATTGTGAAAGAAGGGGAGGATCAGAGAAGACAGGATCAAACAGCCTTTTTACACAATGCAGAGGATTAACCCCTTAGGTTCCACAGTGAGTATAACATGCTTTACTGCATTTACTGACTGATTTTACAGTTGTGGGTTTAGTAATACTTTATTTACTTTCTGATATATATGCTGCTGTACAATAGAATCATAGTAAATTATACAAATGACTGATTTCATACAGTACATGTATGTGTAAAGCACTACAATTAAGTGTGGATTCACACATGTACGATGCAGATTGAAGCTCAGATTTCACAGCTGACACAATAGTTAAGTGTCAGTTAAGGTCAGGTTTACATCACGTTCTGGACAGGTTTAGATCAGGTTCAGGTAAGGATTTTATCCTGTTATCATCTGACCACAACACATTCAGCCAGTCCTCCTCTGCATCATTCAGATGTTCAATGGCAAACTTCAGACGGGCCTGCACATGTGCTTTCTTGAGCAGACGGACCTTGCGGGCACTGCAGTATTTCAATCCTTATCGGCATAGTGTGTTACCAATTGTTTTCTTGGCGACTGTGGTCCCAGCTGCCTGGAGATCATTGACAAGATCCTCATGTGTAGTTCTGGGATGATTCCTTACTGTTCTCATGATCATTGACACTCCATGGTGCACCAGACCTAGGGAGACAGTTGTTTTGTGTTTCTTCCATTTGCGAATGATTGCACCAACTGTTGTCACCTTCTCACCAAGCTTTTTGATTTTTAGACTGATCATTTCTTTGTGAGTGGGCAAACATTCAAAACAAGCAGGGGATCAAATACTTATTTCCTTCACTGTAATTTGCATTTGGAATCTATTGCTGTGAACCTACATCATGTGTTCAAAGGAGCTGTCCATACAAAACCCATTCCCAACATCCAGACACATGAAGGACACTCTCCAGGAGGTGGGCGTATCATTGCCAAAGTCTACAATCAAGAGAAGATTTTGTGAGAGCAAATACAGAGGGCTCACCACAAGGTGCAAACCATTCATAAGCCTCAAGAATAGAAAAGCCAGATTAGACTTTGCCAGAAAACATCTAAAAAAGCCAGACCAGTTCTGGAAAAGCATTCTTTGGATGGATTAATCTGTACCAGAATGACAGGGAGAAAAAAAAAACGTGGAGCAGGATTGGAAAAGCTCATGCACACAATGTCATCTGTAAAACATGGTGTGATGGCATGGGCATGCATGGCTTCCAGTGGCACTGGGTCATTGGTGTTTATTGATGATGTGACAGAAGCAGCTGGATGAATTCTGCAGTATTTAGAGATAAACTGTCCGCCCAGATTCAGCCAAATGCAGCAAAGTTGATTAGAAGGCGCTTCACAGTACAGATGGACAATGATCCAAAACACACTGCAAAAGCAACCCAGGAGCTTTTGAAATTACTGGAATATTCTGCAATAGCCAAGTCAATCACCTGATCTCAACCCAATTGAGCATGCATTTCACTTGCTGAAACTGAATACACAAAGAAAGAACTGAAGACAGCTGCAGTTAGAGCCTGGCAAAGCATCATAAAGGAGGAAACAATGTCTTTGGTAATGTCCATGGGTTCCAGACTTCAGGTAGTCATTGTCAGTAAAGGATTCTCAACAAAATATTAAAAATGAACATTTTATTTAGGATTATATTCATTTGTCCAATTACATTTGAGCCCCTGAAAATGGAGGGACTGTGTATATAAAAGGTTGCAGTTGCTAAAATTTGCACTTGATATTTATTTTCAACCCCTTGAATTAATGCTGAAAGTCTGAACTTCAAATTAATTTGGATTGTTTCATTTTATGAGTACACCCCTTTTGAAAAGTAAGATTTAAATCAATATCTCAATGAACACAAGAGCAATTTCCTATTTTGTATCAAAACCGAGTTTTATAGAACATTTGTTTAGCTCATTACATGAAAGTAAGGTTAATAATATAACTTAGATTACAAAATCTTCAGTTTTACTCAATTTACTTGATGCAAAAATGAAAACACCCCACAAAAAAAACTACTACATCTAGTATTTTGTATGACCTCCATGATTTGTACGGACAGCACCAAGTCTTCTAGCCATGGAATGAACAAGGTGGCAACTTATTGCAACATCTATCTTTTTCCATTCAAGAACGGCCTTTTTTTGAGCCTGGATGCTGGATGGAGAGTGATACGCAACTAGTCTCTTCAGAATTCCCCATAGGTGTTCGATTGGGTTCAGATTAGGAGACACACTTGGCCGCTGAATCACTTTCACCCTGTTCTTCAAAAATGTAACAGTGGCCTTAGAAGTGTGTTTTGGATCATTGTCATGTTGGAAAAGTGCCCGACGACCAAGGCCATGGAGTGATGGTAGCATCTTTTCTTTCAATATAGATCAGTAAATCTGTGAATTTATGATACAATCAATAACATGCAGTTCCCTTACACCAACAGCACTCATGCAGCCACACAGAAGGACATGCTACCACCATGTTTCACTGTAGGCATAATGTATTTTCTTTGTACTCCTCACCTTTGTGACAACATACAGTTTTGAAGCAATCAGTTCCAAAAACATTTATCTTGGTCTCATCACTTCAGAATACAGAGTCCCAGGAGCCTTCTTTCTCAGAATGGGCCCTGGCAAATTCTAGGCAGGCTTTTTTGTGCATGGGCTTTAGGAGAGACTTCCTTCATGGACGACATCCATGCATGCCATTCCTCTGCAGTGTATGGCATACTGTGTCATGAGAAACAATCATCCCAGTTTGGCTTTCTATTTCATTAGCTAACTGCAGTGCACTTGCATCGTGATTTTCTTCAACTCTTCTCATCAGATGGCACTCCTGTTGAGGTGTTAATTTCCATGGATGGCCTAAACGTCTCTGTAAGATGGTTACAGTTCCATCTTTGTTAAATGTTTGTATCACTTTTGCTATAGTATTCTGGCTTATAAGTAAAGCTTTGCTGATCTTTCTGTAGCCTTCCTTATGTAAAGATATTTTTTTTCTTAGTCCTTGTGAAATTTCTCTTCCATGTGGTGCTATTGTTGACCTCATGAAACAGGAAGAGATTTTCTTTGCTAAGTAGCACCCTTTTATAAACCAACTGTCTGCTGGACACCTGTTTAATGGATAATTAGACTCACCTGTAGTTGAATTCTTGCTAATAAGGATTTTGTTGTGCAAAATTTAGC